TTGTGAACGTCAAGCGAGTTAGGTTTAGTTTAGGGATTTATGATTTTTCTTTTTTTAAAAAAACAAATATTATATAAAATATATTATATTATATATTATATTTATTATTATATTACCGGTCCGGTCCAGGTGGGCGAGCAGGCGGTTCCACTCCTAGAACCGGGAACCGGACCGATACCCACCTGTTCCCAAAAATTGGAACTGGGAACTGGATCGATTCCCTTAGGAACCACCAGTTATGGGCGGTCCCGGACGGTCTGGGCAGTTCCCGATTTTTTTGCACACCCCTAGTGATTATGTACGAGAGACGCCGTAAAATGTGATCTTTCTATTGAATTTTGTCATGACTTAAGTACAAATTATCCACATGGTGTAATATTATAGAAAATATAGTAAGCGCAATTTACTTTTTATGACTGTGATGATTTTAGTGTAACGTTGATCCTTAATAATTTGCAATCAAAAGCAATTTAAAGTTTGTTTTTATGACTTTTAAATATTGAGTAATTTTTCTGCCACCCAGTTATTATTATTTTTTAACGTTCGGGGCCAAAAATCATCGCGAGCACGCCTCAAATCATTAGCGAGATCATCATATACATGCATAGCATAAATTCAAGATTTTATGATAAATTTTTGGAACTGGTTTGAAGATTTTTGGGCAAATATAATGTTTTTTTGAACCATTCTCTAACAGCTCTCACTGTCTTTAATTTAGGGTGTGTTTGTCTCGCGAAAAATGAATGGCTTGAAAAACATTTTCCTAAAAACGATCCTTATATTACTTACAAAGTAGGTCAAGCAATCTTCTAAGGAGCTTGACTTATCAAGCAATCTTCCAAGCACAATGCTAGAAATGAATTTCACCTAGATTCAAGTTGAGTTTGAGTTTTGTATCCAAGTACTCAACAAAATTTTGATTAATTATTACAACCCCCTCACAAACTTGATGGAATCCTTTAGAAAGCTGCGGATAAGATTGTAACGTTGCCTTGTTGTATATGCGTGTGGAGGTACTATTCTCACCCCCTTTATGCCTATCACTTGTTACATCTTATTATTGACTGTTGGATTTGCGTCCCGTGTCCATTAAACACCTCCCCTGGAAAACCCTTTCTCTCCTTAGGTGAGCCTTTGCGCCGGACAAGGCCACATCCACACCCCCATTGCACACGGCCTTAACTCGAGGAAAGCTCAAGCCAAGCCTAAATCTGAGATCTGGGTCTCAACTCGCCTTAATCAAGGTTGATCTAAGGTAAATGGCTCAAATGGGCCTCGATCCGAGATCAATCGGGGTCGGAAGCGGCCGTAACTAGGCTTTGCGATGTCGAAAAACTGTCATCTACTCCTAAGCCGAAGAGTTCGGCAATTGGGGGGAGGTGACACATGCGTGCGCACATGTGCACACACAAAGAAGCTAGGGTTCTTCCTTCAGGGGGCGTTGGATCCCCACGTGGCGTAGATCCAACAATGAATCGGGCGGTAACAGGAGATGGGCACGACGCTCGGTCACAACACCCCCCCTCTCCTGTCATGTGCACCTAAGGCGATCGATTATCTCTTAATCCAAATCGAGCCTAGCAAACGATCTTGTTCAACAAGTAGAAACAAAGATTCCACATCTCTCTCTATTTCACATCTTCACAGCTTAAAAAACAAGAACCCCAACGAAATATCATACCCTAAGATATGATTATCCGTAGTAGCCCCCATTCACTTAAAGAAAAGTGACCACTCCCTTTCCCCACCCCCTCCTAGGATCTCCAAGACATGGACACGAGCGGCCCGATAGCTCGTTTAACATTCCCTGCGCCAGGAAACTCATACCTCGAAATAAAGTTACCATTACGTCTACACGCTTAGCCGCAATTCAATAAAGCGGACCACCATCTAATTCCTACGTGGTCCATCTCGACAAAATAGCAAGAACTAAAAAGCCTCGCGAAAGTATTCTTAAAAAGTTTCCACATATAAAACATTAAAAGAAGTAGAGAGAGAAAGAAAAAAAAAACCAAGAATTTATATTCATTAAGTGAATTCTTGGATTCGAGGATCGAAGTCGAGTTAGATGTATATTAGGAAAAAAGAATTAATTTCATCCTTAGATATATAACTTTCATAATTTCTGTTTCGACGTGTCGTGGTAATATAGATTAATTTTAAAAAAGACAAGTTTCTCATCACTTTTCTAAAACAAATTAATGTAAAACGACGTAATTACTCCGGAATAAAAAACCGGAAGCAGTAGAGATATTACTCTCTTTTTTTTTTGAATCTTTTTTTAAAATTTTTTTTACATACACAAGCTCACATGTGATTCATGTCTATTGGGGTGGTTGAGTGGAAACAACACTAAGCACTGTACAATTCCCTCAAATAGGCAATTCCTAATTTCCTATAGACTAAACCCCCAAATCTATCCTCACAAGTTGCATAAATGAAGGATGGGCGCACTAAAAAGTCCTTTAGCAATTGAAAAGAATCAATTCGGGGACACAAAGCCACCCTATTGCCAGTGATTGTAGCCATTCTGGAGGTGGGGTTGAGATTCACTAAATCAATGTACCGTTTCTTGACTTGAACACAAAGAGTTGGAAAGAGAAACAAAAACTTAATGTACTTTTGATGCTATTTATGTGGATTATATATGGATATTATATATATAATATTATAAGTATTTTACGAAATATGGTAAATTAATTGCAGGAACCCTGTATTTCATTCAATAATATATTGAAAAAGGTTACAAAGACTGTATTTAATGAATCTATACATTAAAAGGGTAAATGCATGATGGCATACGAAATAATCCGGTGCGATTCATGGAATCACACGAGATATTATATGCTTTCTGAAAGGAATTAACAACATACCAAATAATATTCTTAATCTATCAAATAATATCTCTAACAGTAATCTTCTACATGAAATATTCAAGATACAATAAATAAGAAAATCTTAGTACTCTACCTACATCCTGCTCGCTCTCACAAATGACAACAATTTCTCTCGACTTTGTTGTTAAATTATTTTTTGTAAGTATTTAACGTCCGAGAGATGCCGACATCTGCACGAGATCTCGGACGAAGTAGTTTAACCTCTTACTTAGGAGGGAACAACGTCCTCTTATTGATTTGAGTTTTTAGGTTGGACATTCTGGTATGGTATTAGAGCTGGGTTTTGTCCCAGTTTATATGGCCTGTGCGGCTCCCTAATTGTCCAATTCCGCATGTCATCCATATTCCGATTTGTACATGAGAGAGGATGTCAAAACATCTCACATTGCTTGTCTGTGGAGTTTTTGTCACTCTTTATACACATACGGTCTTCCTCAAGTCATTAACTTAAATTTTTACATTGGACATTCCAACATTTGTCATGTCTAAGTCATAAAAATGAACTCGACTCACAAAGCAACTCGAATGAAAATCGGCACTTGTTAGTTTTTACCTTATGTCATATTTACGTGGGATTTTGTGAAACGGAATGAAGTTTGTGGATTAAGTGGAATATGTGTCGTTTCTATAATTAAGTTGACTTAACGAGTCCCATTAAGATGCTAGCTTAGGGACGGGCCAAAGTGAAACACTTAGTGCCATTATTTTGTGCACCAAGAATCTAGCTCATGCTACAGCGGTCACTAAATAAGATAATAAAGGAAAAATAAATAAAATAAATATAATTTTCGCATTTCAATCTTTTCTCTCTCTACTTATATTTGTTGGCTCATACAGTAAATTTCGATGTTATCATCTTTTACATACTAACAAGTCTAAAGAGGAATGAAATTACTACAAAAACGCATGAGTATAAATTATCCTCCCCCCCAAAAAAAAACACATAAAAAAGAAATAATACATGGTTTTACTTATAACATCACGAAATTGTGTTCTCGAGATGCAATTTTTTCGCTCTCCACTGATCTTTATCCATCCATATTGTAAATCTAGATCTTTTCACCCTCCACATAGCAACGGAGCGAAAGATGAGCAAAATTTACCGGAAGAACACACGAATATAAATCAAATCCGCCCAAGAAGAAAAGCAATTTAAAATTAATAGAAGATGGATACTATCACTCACAATTAGACTTGTCAAATGGGTGAGTCGGATCAAGTTTGAATCGGGGAGAAAATGGTCGGATCCAATTGACCCATTTTCATGCAATACAAATATAAAGACCCATACCCGACCCGACACATATCCAACTCATATCATATTGTTAAAACACTTTTATATTTAACCCAATTTAGAAAATCTAACACTCAAATTAAGGTGGAAGCACGGAGTGAGCGAGCGCAAGATCGAGTGAAGGAGAGAGAGAGAGAGCCATGAAAGTCGGTTAAATTTAAGTAAATTGTGAATCCATTTAACACTTATATTAAACCCATTTATAATCATTTTACTAAATATAATCAACTCATATAACAACCTATTTCATCAAATATGAGTTGCGAAATGAATTTATGGACCATTTTAACAAGTCTACTCACAATATTACCAAAAAAAAAATCCAATCACAACCCATTCATGTTTTGGACCGATTGTAACCCTAAAAAAGAGAAGAAAATGAGAAAGAAAATGACAAATGGAGTAGCAAATTGTTTCGAGAACGACGGAAAACACTTTCAAACTCTCCCTCTCCCCACCTCACAAATTTTGAAGATAAGCCAGAAAGTCAAAGAGTCGAACAAGCTGCCTCGATCCCACAACACTTTAAACTCTAATCAAACCCCCCCAAGGCCCTCTTGTTAAAGTGTTAATTAAACACTTACTCTAATAGCTTTCCCTATTGCGGCTGTGCATTTTTCACACGTTCACTATATAAATTAAATATTTAAAAAATTGTTTTTTTCTTTTCTTCATTTTTTCTTTGGCTTTGCTTTTCTTTATTGTTCCAACCCCACCAGGACCACCACCTCCTCCTCCTCCTCCTCCTTCAGTCTCTTTTTCTCTATAAAAGCCCCACCTTCTCTGTCCTCCCTGTACTAATCCCATCAATCTTTCTCTCTCTCTCCCTCTCACTCTCATCGCAAAGACCCAGTTTTCGTTTCCTGCTCTTCCTCGCCATCAATCCAATCAGCCCCACTAGGTGCAGGAGGAGGAGGATCAAGAATCTGTAGCAGGAGAGGACAGATGGATGCGAGTGGGATCAGAGGCACCAACCAGAGCGGCGACAGCCAGGAAGATGATCAGCAGGCGATGATGGAGGATCTGAGGAGGGGTCCGTGGACTGTGGAGGAGGACCTCACCCTCATCAATTACATTGCCAACCACGGCGACGGCCGCTGGAACTCGCTCGCCCGCAGCGCAGGTAATTTACGGATCGATAATCAAGAATTGTCAAGATTTCTGGTGCATGTGTATGTAGGATATAGAAGGTGAATAGTATAGCATCGTGCGGTCGATTGGTTTGCCCGTCGATGATCCGAAGTCATTTTCGGATGGAAGACGAAACCCGGGTCTGTGTCTCTCTCTTTTCTTCGGTCCGAGTTCATCTCGTCTAGGTTCTCCATCTTGGATCGTACTAGACCCAAGAAGCCAAACATGAAATGTGTTGGACTTGGAGTCAAGTGGAAAGCCAAGCGGTACACGTTTTCTTGAAAGAGAAAACCCACATGTGAAAAATACTGTTCAGTCTTTTTCTCTTTTTTCCTCTTTTTGTTTGAGATTGGCAGATTGTGTGAGTTACGTGTTCCTTAAAAGAATCAAGAAAACATGGGACGTATCTTGTCATGGCCGGTGGTTTCTTTTTAATGCGTCCGCTTTTGAATAGAAGTTAAAGGTGCAGACATCGAAAAAAGCATATGCACCAGGAGATCGATAGGGATGCTTACTACTATTTATTCCCTTGGTATCTTGATGGCTACTTTACCCAGAGAAAGAGCTCAGCTTTATTCAATCTAATCAATGCTCGTGTTTGCAACCACGAATTTGCAGGTTTGAAACGGACCGGAAAGAGTTGCCGACTGCGGTGGCTGAACTATCTCCGCCCCGACGTTCGGCGCGGGAACATAAGCCTCGAAGAGCAACTGTTGATTCTCGAACTCCATTCTCGTTGGGGCAATCGGTACGTATCTCTATATCCCCCAAAGTATCTGTCGATCCGATATTTATTCGATAAAGAAATCACGGTGACGTGTTCATTTTTCCTCTCGATGAATTTTTGACGATTTTTTTTCTGGGTAATTATCTATAGATGGTCGAAGATCGCGCAACACTTGCCGGGCAGGACAGACAACGAGATCAAGAACTACTGGAGAACCCGGGTGCAGAAGCACGCGAAGCAGCTCAAATGCGATGTCAACAGCAAGCAATTCAAGGACGCCATGCGCTACCTGTGGATGCCGAGGCTGGTCGAGAGGATTCAAGCCGCCTCCGGCTCTGTCTCGACTGCTGCCACCGCCTCCGCCATGGCAGCCCCCGCCACAATGGTCACCGCCACGACGAACATCGGCAACATGGTTTTCCCACCGACCCTGGCGGGTATGGGTGGCAATTACGGGGGCGTGCACGTGAATGTGACACAGAGTTACAGCACCCCGGAGAACTCCTGCACGACAACATCTTCGGACTCCTTCGGCGCGCAGGTTTCGCCCGTCTCAGACCTGACCGAGTATTACCCCATCCCGGTTGGCGACAACCCGAACCCGGATTATTACCAGCCTAATAATGGCCAAGGATGTTACCAGGAGTCATCTCTTACTAGTCCTTGTGGATACTTCAACTATGGATTGGACTTCCAACCATGCATGGATCAGAACAACACTCAGTGGTTGGATGATGGGGACACATCGGACAACTTGTGGAATATGGAGGATGTTTGGTACCCAGAGCAGCAGCCAGCTTCTATCAACAATAACTTCTGAGAAGACGAAATGGAAATTTATAAAATAAAAATTTAAAAAAATAGGAGGGCGAAAGCGAGGTTCGATTGTAAACAGGAAATTGTGAAGAAAATAGGGTTTCGCTCAGCATGAAAAATATAACTTTGTTGAGCGAAAAAAGAACAGATTGTAGCGTCCCGTTATAATTTCGTAGGGAGTCTAATTTTGTATCTTTCCGTTCGTCTTTTCTTCGTTTGATTTCTTCTTTGATTGGGGGGCCAACTTGTAACTCGGGGGCTTATTTTCGCTTAATCTATTTATTTCTTCTCGATCCCGAACGTTCATCATCAGCGAGAACAGATCTCACTCATCGAACCGCGCGATCTCGACGGCGATTCGCTAGCGAAAGGACGCGAAGCAAGCGAAACTCTTCACGCGCTTAAAAAAGATTACAAAGTCCATTCGATCAGCGAACGGCGAAAGCTATCTTTTCATCATCATATCCTCATTCGATCTTCTTCTTCTTCACTTGATCATGATCTGATCATGGGGCTAAGTTGATCATGAAGAGGAGATGTTGCTTGTTCAATGCAGCAGCAAGAAGAGGTTGCCATTATTGGTTCCGCCATCTTTACCTCCCAAAAGGGTGTTAAGCTACGGGAGAAAAGCAAAGTCGAAAGCCATTATCTTAATGGCAAGCTTTTTGACAAAAAATAAACCACCGATGTCCATGGGGCCTGAACGGGGGAGATCGAAGTGCCACGTTCTAGAATTGCTCCAAAAAGGGGTCTTCTCTGTGCAGCAATGAGATCGTGGGGGACGTGGCGTTGCTTGATCAGTGCTCTTGGGAAGCAAGTTAAGGCCCTTTGGAGTTGGGAGGGATCTCCTTTTCTTGAAGTTGCCTAAATGAAACATCATATCTATTCTCTCTCTCTCTTGCTTGTTTTTTTTTTTTGGCTTTTTGAGAGATCTTGTACGTCCACATAATGGTTGTACCCCATTTGTCCAGACAGAATTTGATTAATGACAAAACAGAAAGTATATGGTTAATTATGAGGGATGATGCTTGGGCTTGGAAAGTTTTGCTCCATTATCATCTTATTGAATGCTTCCACGAGTTTAACCCGTAATTGAAGGTATGCAAAGATATATACGACATCTTTCGCTCGAGGAAATCACTAGCAAGCTGCTCAAATTCGAGTCCGTCGACATGTTCAGTAAGATCCGCCTTCACTCAAAAGTTTGAATTAATGAGCTATGAATTAGTTAAGATAATTAGGTATTCCACACTACACCGATTCCTTTAATGCCCGGCTTTCCTAACACATCATGACCCCCATCCATGGATTTCGAGAATTTCGTGGCAACAGAGAGAGAGAGAGAGAAAGCGGCCCCGGACCGTGCATATCGCGTCCGGGAAAACATACAAACTCGATCCTTAGATTTCATCCCGGGAATATCTCCGCGTCGGCAGAAACCAATCGGTCAACCCCGGTGACAATCACACGAGATGCTAGGCCACAAAAATCACTCAATCACGAGATAATCTCCCCGGATCTAAAGCACCCGACATTGTTCGTGACTGTTCAAAAGTGATGACACGCGGAAACGTGATGAAATAGTAAGAGAGAGAGAGAGAGGAAGACGAGATGGCTGTGGCGGCGGGAATCTTTGTAGGCCGCCGCGTGCCTCGAAGAGAAGCCATCGAAGCGGTCCCCCAACCCCCAGTTAAACGTCGTCGTGTTGGGAAACCGCCACGTGTCCCTTCAAAGGCAGATTGAATATATATATATATATATATATATATATATATTATAATACTTTATTATTTTTTTCTGTATTTTCTGCAGAGACGAAATTGGGAGCCCAATCGGGAGGCTGCCGGGACTGCAGCACTGACAGCCGAAACCATTGAAACTTGCCCCATTTGTCTAGCAAGTCCACCTATGACTATACTTTTCGTATTTAATTGATTCCCCATTTTCCACGCGATGTTTCCTTTTATTTTATTTTTTTAATTTCGAAAACCGTGGAATTGTCATCATTCGCGTATTTTGTATACTAGCCTTTATTCATGACCCCAAAAAAACAAAAATACTAGCTTTTATTAATTTAATAGTGCCGTGTGTTGGAAAATCGAAACTCTTGGCTCTTGGCTTGCGAGAAAAACTACTTAATAAGTCATAAACCTATTATACGGTTTCGGTCCTAAACTTTTTAATCGTGTCGATTTAATCCTAGACCTTTTGACAATTTGTCAATTCTGGCCAATTTTGGATGGAAACCACCGATATTGATGCCGGCCCTCCTGTGTGGCACGACCGGTGCTAATGTGGATAATTTTTTTTTTATAATTTTCTATATTTTTTCTGTTTTTTTCTTTTATTTTTTTTTTCAACACTGGGCCGACCGACCCTCGTCAGTCACAAGCAAGGCCGAGGGCCGCGACGCTCTCACCAGCCTCAGGCGAGGGTCGCATCGCTCACTTAGATTTGGGCGACAGCCTAACGCCCTGGCCTGTGGCCGATGAAGGCATGGAGGCCCTTGCCCGTTGCCAGTGAGAGTCGATCGGGGACCTTGTTGGCCTAGAGTTGGAAAAAAAAAGAAAGGAAAGAAGAAAAAGAGAAGCAAAAAATAAAAATAATTTTAGAAAAATTTAAAAATTGCAAAGTTTGTTTACGTCAATGTCGGTCGTGCCATGTAGGACGGTCGATGTCCATGTAAACGATTTCTGAGAAACATTGGCTAGAGGGACTACATTGGCAAATTATCGTAAGATTTAGAACTAAATTGTCACAATTGAAATGTTTAGGACTAAATTGACCGTTGTACAATAAGTTTAGGATATTTTTGGTAATTTTACCCTTGACTTGCTTGTCTTTAATCTTTTGCTAAAGTATCTTATATCCTTTGTTTACTGAATTTATATACTTTTTATATTCATGGGATCTTCCTCAACTTATAAGGTTAAGTTTTTGAGTTGGACATTTTAACATCCTTTTTCTTGATTTGCTTCATCATCCCACATATCCGTTCTCATTATAATGACCTACACTCACAATTGTACTTTTGTACACTTATCGATTGTAGCGAAGATATGGGATTGAAGAATTACAAAATCGAATATCACCTACATCTAAACTGAACACAAAATAAATATGGGTAATGTCTATGTTGATAAATTTGACATTAAAAGCATATATTTCAAGAAGGATTAATTGAAAGCACCGTGAGTGTGTCCGCAAGTAATAATATGGTGAAGCTACAACCAAGCTCCCCTTCTATGGTGTGTTTTAGAAAGGAATAGAAAACAGAAAATCGTTCAACATTTTCGTAAAGCGGGTCTCGTTAAGATAAAATATATGATGTAAATTATTGACTGTTTTTATTCCTTTTCTAGGGTTTTCCAAGTTAGATCACCGATTACTAATTAAGATACGCAACCTCTTTCTAAACGACGATAAAGATGGGTCGATGCATCTGTATTTTATCTCCAAGATACGAAAGAATGTACAACTGGACTCCATTCACGTTCCCTTTCAACAGGAAAGAAGCACTCTGCTTAATCTCTCCATGTTTCCTCGTCAAACTATTCAAACACAAATCTTCATTTTTCATCTGTCGGCCCACCTTGAAGTGGACCAAAAGGAAAAACAAAAAACGATGACAAAAGAGACTTCCTCCCTTCTTGGTCAAGACAGGGGGCCATACGTGAAGTTCCACGTGGGCTGTTTCCATTTCTCGTCCTGCCATCATTGGGGGGTGTTTTGGGGTCTTAAAGCACCATCGAGTCCGATTTTAAGTGTCTCGATTGATCTTGATTCGATATAACCTCTCTGGTTTGTGCTGAATACATAGCTTTGTCCAAAGATGTGTTGCTGTAGCAACAGAGTATATCAAGTTTAGACGATAATGTCACGTCTTCCACATCGGAATATAGCAACACGTGGATAAGATCTTCGCTAACGAATTGAGCCTATCGTATTCACTATACTAGGCGATGCATATGATTGAAAGATGGACACATGATTAGGGCTAGAGGGGTCTAAAGCACCGTCGAGTCCGGTTTTAAGTGTCTCGATTGATCTTGATTCGATATAACCTCTATGGTTTGTGCTGAATACATAGCTTTGTCCAAAGATGTGTTGCTGTAGCAACAGAGTATATCAAGTTTAGACGACAATGTCACCTCTTCCATGTCGGAATATAGCAACACGTGGATAAGATCTTAGTCGCTAACGAATTGAGCCTATCGTATTCACTATACTAGGCGATGCATATGATTGAAAGATGGACACATGATTAGGGCTAGAGGGGTCTAAAGATGTGTGATTTGACATATAGTAACGCGTCAAGGAAAGAATTCTTTCCTTCCCTTTGATAGTGGAAGGTTATTGTCAGCACTATTTGGTTGGTGATAGAAAGGTACTTGCTTTTGGACCTTCTTCTCTTACAATGCACTTGGGTTGGGGACTAATAGACCCTAAATGCCTGCCTATACATGCCTATAAACGCCTATACCAATTCTCTTCCTCCTTCACTCGCGCCTTGAGTTGAAACATGTTTAATCTCATAAACTCCGTCTCAGATGAATCAATCAGTGAAAGACTCGCGCGCCCTGCCTCGTCGAATAGACTTTTCAAAGTTGGTGGGGCTCGTCTTTCGGTCAAACAATGTTAACTTGTTGACAAGTGCTAAGTGCTAGTAGTTGAAGTGACAAGACAACTGGGAAAGACCTCGTGATGTGATTATCATTGCCCTTTTCTTCCTTCTGATGGAAAAGGAATGGAGAATCAAAGTAGGGTTTCAACTTTCAATAGGCCGGAAGTGGTCGTGATTGTGCTTCCTCAAATCAAATGCTTCAATTAAGATGGTGTGATCTTATGTCCATCACTAACAAACATGAGTTCTGTTTTGGATAATATCCATGAACGGACAGAAATGAATCCATCCATCCAACCCGATTTCGGTAGGCGTTTGAAAGAGAACTATGATCTTTTCGTCATGATTTAAATAGGCCTTCTTTTTATCTTGCGAGGGTTTTTCTTGCATGGACCAGTCGATCTTGAAGAGCGCTTAACCTATGGTTGATGATGATCGATAGTCTTTTATATTTTTTTAATTCCGAGTTGAAATTTCAAACTTAGTATTCTTAAAGATGAAGCTACAAGTAGACAACTAAAAGGAAGCCTTTTAAAAGTAGGAAAAGAGCAATGGGACATTAAACTTGAACCGCGCCAGGATTCACATTGAGCTTCCTTTTCCAAAAATAGACATTTCCCATTAACAAGTATTTGCTTGTTGAAGTGAAATAATATGATGAGAGCCTAA